AGTTTAGAAACGATGTTAATTAAACTAATTCCTCTCTGATTTTCACAAGAGGACCTATCACCTTTCTTGTAAATCGGTATGATGACCGACTCACACCATTCAGCTGGAACCTCCTTTCTTTCCCATATTGAGCCCAGGAGTTTTATCAACTCCAAGACTAACGCTGAGCCTCCATCCTTAAACGCTGATGGTAACAGCCCATCTGGGTCAGAGGCCTTATGCCTTTTGAGATAACTCATTTCCCGAGATACCTCCATTTCAGATGGAGGATTAGCATCAACTGGGAGTATTTGTCCAGTCGAGGCGGAGAGTGAAAGATAAGGTGTTGATGGGGGCCAGTTGAGCTGAGCCTTGAAANTGAAATGTTCAGCCCAACGGTCAAGACGGCGTTGCTGATCGTGAATCAGTGTGCCATCGGATTCCTTAATTACCTCACTTACGCCTATTTTCCTAGGACCCGTATTCCTAATTAGATGGAAAAGGTTACGACTATCACCAATAGCCGCCGGGAGAAATCCAAACCGTTGTTGAGCAATTCTGGGTTACTTCAAGGTGCAGTTCTTTTCCCATACTTATTTTCTACGTATATCAGTGACTGGTTTGCTAGTGCCCCTACTTCCCTCTTCAAATACACTGACTATGGAGTTTTTGTGTCAGACCATCTCCAACTCTTCTGGTCTTTCACAATTTTTTGACAACTTGGATAACGTTTAACGGTTTTTCGCCACGCCTGGCCTATCTCTTGGTCCATTTGAATGTCTCTTTACATTATCACACTCTTCTTTCCCAACTGAACCGGTATCAATTGGCTCTGAACCAGTATCCAGGGTAAACTGTATTAAATACCTGGGTGTTTTTATTGATATTAATCTTCACTGAACCTCTCACATTCAACAAATCGTCAGTAAGCTTCGATGACTTTCTTTTCATATCCGTAAACTTCGTCAGTTTCGTATTCAACAATAAATTATTTCCAAATTTTTGTACCAATGTGTTTTCCCCCTTTTACTTTATTGTTCAGCTGTTATTTTTCTGATCTCCTAAAGAAAGATTTTAAACTGCTTCGACGTGGACTGACCATTAGCCGTGTCTATACAATCCCGCTGAAGGAGTCGATAACTGACCTATGCAGACGTCATTTGAATGCATGTGAAAAGTTTGCACATAAGATTCTTATCGACTCCACACATCCGCTACACGCAGATCTAACTTCCTCTTGTTCCCATCCTTCAACTAGATCCCAATATCGTTGTGTTCTCTCTCTCTCCAATAAACGTAAATCATAAATCTACAGTACCCTAATTAGCACGTATTCTAGTTAACAAGCAACGGTTTTAGGCAGTCGCGGTCGTCCACTAGAGTAAGTGATCGACCTCCGTAGATTTCTATGGTTGGGACATGTGCTACGCATGTCACCAGGTAGGTTGCCACGACGAACGATGTTTTCCAAGGCTGGTAGCGATTGGAAAAAAACGAAGGGTGGTAAAGCTAAGACCTGGCATGAGGGTATGAAAACCCTAACCAGGAGACTAGGTCACATATGCCCCGTTAGGCTCTCTGGCTGGGGACCTCGGGATGATCGTAACCGATGGTTAGAAGCACTGAGTGATATGGCTGGGTGTCGCAAACAGTGGCGCTCGTGCATCCACTCGTTATTTTCCTAACACCACTGTTTATGAATTCCCCATCTTCCGCTTGAATTTGCTTCGACATTCCAATCTTCATTTCGCTCTTTTATCCAAATCGGCAACCAAAAGACAGTAACCAAAACCGGCGCACGAAAGTGCATGTTTAATGGTTGTAAAAACTGGAAAACTAACAAGCAACAGGTTTTCACAGATTTTGTTGACACTTGGGATTTAAATCTCTTTTTCATTATTTTTATTATTTTCTCCCGTACTCCAACCTGTATATTTTTTTAAAACTGAAATTTAGGCTTGTTGCCTGCAGAAGTTTTTACAATACAATACAATACCGAATATCTGTCCGATTCTCGTTGACCATAAAAGTTTCGAAAACCTTCACGTCTTTGTCTACCCTGCCAACCCAAATTTTAAGCTGATTGCACCTAGTGGAAAGTAATGTTCGCGTGAGGCAGTGTTTTGATTATTTGCAGATCATGCCCAAACGTGATCAAACCAGCGAAGGCGGTGACGCCAGAGAATTAGGCGGTTTCTGAACTAGGTTTAGAAACCCAATTGAAGGTAAGTATGAAAGCCGTCTCCCAAGTGCACCGTATTTTGAAATGAACCAAATGGTGAAGGTACCAGAAAACGAAATTAAGTGTTAGTTTTTAAGCAATTAAATTTTCAAAGATGGAAAGGTTTCTTTCCCTCATCGTAACGCAAGAGACAACTTGAAAGTGTGATAGATGCGGACTGAAGCTTTTCCGGGCACGCATTTCCAACCACAGTTAGAAGATTAGTATTGACTTACTTTTCGTCTTGATAATTTTCTCCTTATGTCATCTTGTTTTCAGCAATTGAACCCACCACTACAACACAAGCTCAGTAAGTATTTATTTGGGCATGTCAATAAATTGTATGTTCACGTGACATTTCTCCCCGGATCCTAACTAAATTTGTGGCTGTTGTACCATATCTACCAAGTGATTTTTTCAGCAAAGCCAGTCATCATCGTCACCATCGTACGAAATAAAGTAAAGCAAACTTCACTGATCACTGCCACATTCGCAATACAACGTGCCCGGTCCCAAATTGGATTCATACTCGGGATGTTTAGTATGTTTTTGCTGTTATTGGTGCTACTGTTTCTCCGCAACTGTATCTTATTTTCGGCATCGTTTCACACGCCGCACACCATCAAACTGCACTCGGAAGCCAGATGAGTAAGCAGGAAACGCTAGTAGTTGTGATATCTCAGAAGCATTCTGGATTATAAGTGTACTTTACTACGGATGACTTATTAGTGAGAACAATTGGGCTTCTTCGATATCTGACCGTCTGTTTGCCTAGGTCTTATGAGTGGTGTTAAGGTCCTCGTCTATGTCGATCCAGCTCGCTTTATGTCGATGCGTGCTGTTTATCATCCTGAGGCTCTGTAGATCTACATCTTCGAGTACAGTGTCCGACCGGGTTTTCATATGTCCCCTCCCGTTATATATATATATAGCCTTACATCTAAGCCCAGACTGAGGAATTAAATGTCTATATAGAACATTGTGTTGGTGACCCAGTTGTTTGGTCTCTCAGCATGCTTTGGACACTATGGTCCGAGGTTCGAACCCCGCTACGGTCACCCAACTTTAGTGTCAGGCAGCTTTACTGTCGGTGACATGGATTAACCGATTGTCAATCAACCTAATCACTAGGTAATGTTGCAAACTGAAGTATTAACTCCATAGTCCCCGAACCGAAGATCCTCATCTCCTTTCCCCACTTTGGGTTGTGGTGGAGAGAGTGATGTCCAAACCGTTAGATTTTTTGTTACTTGGCTATCCCGAGCTTGAAGTTCGTGATTCGAGCCCTGGCGCTGTTACCCATGTTTTAGTTGTAGCAAGATTCTCAGTTATCCGGTTCTACTGGATTGAATGCGGTTAAGGAATCTCTCACTCACCATAGAACTTGAGTTGTACTGACTGACATTGTCGATGGGGAATGTGTTAGGACAATTGACAAGAAACCCCAATTGTACATTCGTTTCTGTGATCCAGTCTATCACAAGGAACCTTCCCCTGAATTCCGCATTGCTTTCAAACTGGATGAGTTTACAAAAGCGCACTTCATAGTCCACTCATTAGTTGACACGTGTTTGCCATATCCACAGTGAGTGCTTGGATTCTTCCAAACGAAGTGACTACTGGCCGTGCACTTCCCGTTGCACCTATTTCATTGCAGCAATGCCCTGTTCCGAGATTCCGATATCGGTGACCCAAAGCTTGTGTGTGCTGACCGTGAACCACCGAGAGCTGTTGCTGAAGCCGTGTCACCTTCAAATTCCGCGAGTAATCTACCTCGCCCACAGGTCGATTGTCCTCCTCCTCCTCCTGCTGCTGCTGCCTCGGCTCCTCCACGCTTTGACTCGGATTCGAAATCTCACGAACTGACAGAGCAGATCACAGTAGCCAAATCATGGACGTCTCCAATCGCGCCTCAAACGCGATCCAATGCCAGTTCACTGCAAAACGAGTTGGAGGATCTATTAGGGGCCCAGACAGCTCGAGAGAAAGAGAGCAAACGGGTGCAGGAAGAGATACTAACCCTACTGAATACTCCTTCCTCAAAGGTGAGTGCTTCAAGCAAACGATGGGATGTTTTTTAACCTATTCCTTCGGCGTAATAATAACAATCATTGTACATTGGCTCGCAATATATTCCGCGAATGGTTAATAACTTCCTCCATATTTTCGTGTACTTCTCCACAGCCACTCACCCTGAATTCCTGATTTCTAAATTTCGACAGTACACTTCAACGCGGCATAAAACACATTCATTTTCACAACCGAACTCCTCTTGGGGTGTAGTATGCACAGTGACGGAACGCAAACTAATCCCCCCTGAAAAATGGTCTAGTTAAGTCAAGGTTGAAGGTGAGATCCAAGCAAACCATGATCAATGCTGATTGCAGTGGTTTTCACCAATAATTCTACGTTTTATCCTGTTACTTCCTTTTATTGAATCAACGATGATACACTTTTCGGGAAGGAGTAAGTGGCCAATCAAGGTGCTGCCATAGACCACAGACTGGGGTCAGTCAGGCGATGGTTGTGGGATAATGATGTTTGCGTTCAAGTCGGGTAATAAATTAAGCAATGAATTCATCATTGCGGATACTTCAACATTGATCAGCTGAAGCGGATCGATCTTATAACAGTAGTAAGTCTTCAGTTTTCAGTTTCAGTTTGAACAACCATTAACCATGCACTTTCGTGCGCCGGTTTTGGTTGCTGTCTTTTGGCTGCCCATTTGGATGAAGAATAGGAGAAGAAAGGAAAGTGGAAAGTGGAGTCGAAAAGAAAATGGAGAATTTCAGTGGTCTAAGGTTGGGAAGAAATTGAGGAGATGCACGAACGCCACTGTTTACGACACCCAGCCATATCGCTCAGTGTCTCTAACCATCGGTTACGATCATCCCGAGGTCCCCAGCCAGGGAGCCTAACAGGACCTATGTGACCCAGTTTCCTGGTTAGGGTTTTCAAACCCTCGTGCCAGGTCTTAACTTGACCACCCTTAGTTTTTTTCCACTCGGTATCTGCTTCGGCGAACATCGCTCGCCGTGGTAACCTACCTGGTGACATGCGTAGCACATGTCCCAGGCAACGTAATCTATGGAGGTCGACCACTTGCTCCAGTGGGCGACCGTATTTACCCAAAACTCTACGTCTAACCTCGGCATTGCTCATCCGGCTACCCCACCAGATTCGTGCAATGCTGCGTAGACAGCGGTGTTCAAACACCTGACAGTCTGGCTATACCACCAGATTCGTGCAATGCTGCGTAGACAGCGGTGTTCAAACACCGACAGTCTGTCTTTACCTTGTAGTAAGTCTGCGTGTCACGCGTGCATGCGTGATAGCAGCCGGTATCAGATAATCAGTCAGCGATGCTATGGGCATATGCGATAGACGTTTGAATCAAGTGTTAGCCACATCAGGATCGCATATCCTTCAAAAATGGTTCATACACCTCTGATTTGTAGTTGTATAACTTGTGTAACCTTATCTTAGTACATTTTAATTAAAATTGTACACTGCTCATCACACAGAATAAATTAAACTGTTTCATATAACATGCAAAGTGAAGAATGGCACTAAAGTTTGTTTCGTGTACAAAAACTCTGACGTAATTCACTTGCGACCTGTTACTCATTGACTAGGAGTCGGGTCAGGTAGGGTACAAAGTAATTTTTATAAATTTTGATGCGAGGGGTTAGATGCCGAAATGAGGAGTGTGTGGACGGATGGGAATGACGCGCGCCCTTTGATTGGTCCCGCTACATTTTGTGTGCTCGTCGTCTCACTGGATTTTATGGTCATCTCGATGTCAAACATGTTCCGGACCCATACCCACTCTCGTCAGGATATCCTTAGACTGAAATCCGATAATTCTTTGCCTCATACAAACAATATGCTTGGAGAATATGGTAGGCATGCTTGAATCAAGAAGCGCAAGCGTGCTGGATGGCAGTGTGCGCTTAATCGCACCCCTCCTGCCAAGATGACCGTGCCGTCATTGATCATTACCAACGTTCACTCTCTCTTCGCAAAGATCTCGAATTTAACTTTCTCACTGATCACACGCATACACTCCAATACATGTGTCGTATGCATACAAGAAACTTGGTTAAATCAAAACGTTGAGGATGTTCTCGTGCAGATAGATGGTTTCGTCTGTTACTGGCAAGGTAGACAACATAGCAGGCAGAAAACTGGAGGCGGTGTGGCAACGTACATGAACACTTCTTGGTGTAGCAAGTCTGAAGTGGTTTTCAGCTATTCTGAAAAATCCATTGACTGTTTATCCGTTCGTTGTCATCCCGTATTTTCCCGATATAAAAGTACTAATGTGTATATACCTCCTTCGTGTTCCCAATCAGATATATCTTCTTTCTTTGATCATTACATCCCGTTCTTGGTTCCAATATTGGATGAGAATCTTCATTTGGCTGTTGGTGATTATGCAAGCACTTTCCCTTTGCTTTCTTTTGGCTTGTCAGATTTGTCTCATTCTCCTACCGGAGGCAGCTCTATACTTGACCGGGTAATCACAAACCATCCCACTTTGTTTTCGTTCAAACTAATGGCCCCAGTCGCTACCAGTGATCATTGTGTTCTACTCTTAAGACCAAAGATATACTCCCGCTCTGCATATCCAATATTTATACGATCAAACCAGATAAGGTTTCGTCTCCGTAACTTTTCATCAACCCGCATTTCCCTTCTCTGTCGTTCCATAACGGTTGCCCAATCTTGGTTTGCTTCTTGTTCATCACTTCCTAACTGTTTTAGTCTTTTCACCGAAATGATGAAATCGATTTCCCATTTTTTGCTGTCCCATGGAAACGCTGTTTGTTTGCAACGGCAAAATTGCATCTCTTCGCTTGAACTCACTACGAAGGTAAAATGAACGATCCTATAAATCTCACCATCCATCTGCTGTAAAGTACTATTCTAACTTAATTAAGGCTAAGATAATACGTTTAAACAAGACGTTAGCTTCCCAAATCTTGCAAACGAAAAACACAAGGCTTTTGTGGCAAGGAATCCGTCTTCTCTGCGGACAAAAAAGGAAAAACGCGAAGCGCGATGTTGACGTAAATAGCCTTAACGCTGCATTTTTTTTATCCGTCTTATGATAGATAGATACCCTCTTTCCCATGTGAGGTTTCCAATTCTGATTTGTTCCGTTTTTCTAATGATGAAATTTTGAGGCTTCTACGTTCCTTCAAACCATCGTCATCTGCGGGCCCTAATGGTCTTTCTCCAGCGTTTCTCAACTTTGGAGCAGCCCCTCTAACTAGTATGATGACATCCCTCATTAACGAGTCTCTTTCTGCACAGATGATCCTCGATTCTTGGTGACCAGTGACCATAATACCTATTCCAAATACCCCATCCTCAACCGTTCTTGCAAAACGTTTTCATCCCATCACATTGAAGTCTGTAGTGCTAAAATTAACCTAGAAAGCCATCCTGAGTCGTTTAGTCACTTGTCACCATTCCCCATGATCCCCTTCAGTTCGCGCGTAAACCCAACAGATCCACTTTGGATGCTGTGTCTACTCTGATCCATTTTATAGGCAAGTTATTGAACAGCTCTGCCAAATCGGTTTGTTGCGTTTTTCTCGATTATTTGTCTGTTTTTGATTCTGTATCCCAGTCATCCCTCTTTTTTAAACTTGAATCTTTTGGCACCCCGAGACAGCTGCTTTCATGGCTTTCTGATTATTTCACCGAAAGAACCCAGTGCACAAAGCTGGGCAGGAATACCTCAAGTCCTCTAGTCAATAATTCTGGTGTGCTTCAAGGTGCTGTCTTCTCTCCGTATCTTTTCTCTGCTTTCATTAGTGATCTTTCAGTTCCACATCCTGCTCATATCCAAAAGTATGCTGACAATGTCGCTTTATGTCAGACCGTTTCTTCCTCTTCGGAATTTTCTTCTTTCACTGAAAATCTGTCCCGAATCGAACAGTTTTCAAACCAACCTGACCTTAATCTTAACACATCCATGTACTTGGAGCGCATTTTTAGTTCTTCCCGTTCTACATTCACGTCAGACTCTGTAACCCTTAATAGTAGCCTTTTGTCTAGAGTGACCTCAGCTAAATATCTGGGTGTTACTATCGATAATAATCGCCGGTGGTCAAAACACATTCAGAACCGTATGGGAAAACTTCGGCGCCTCTCTTTTCAGCTCCGAAAGCTTAGACAGTTTCTCACCCCCCAACAAGTTTTGTTCTCTTTTGTTAAACAATGCGTTTTCCCTATTTTACTTTACTGCTCCTCTGTAGTGTTTTCCGGTCTATCGAAACAAGACTTTAAAACTGTCCGTAGTTGATTAATGATAATAAGCCGTGCATCTTTAATTTCTGCCTAGTCATTAATCACAGAACTTATTAACGTTCATATTAAGTCTTGTGTGACTCCTGCCAATAAGATTCTAAACGACCCCACCCATCCTTCTTGTCGCTCCCACTGGATCACTCGTTCCTCTTATCGGTACCTACCCTCCCGAAAAAACATCTATAAAAACTCCATTGTACCGTATCTGGCTCGCATCTTGACCAACAAGGAACGAGTTATAAATTAATTACGTCAATCTTAATTGAATTAATCAAACTTTAGAGACATAAATTTTTTTACACAGCACGCCATTGAATTTGTTTATACTTTTATATTTTCTCCGGTGTGACGATCAGTGTACAATGTATAACTGAAATGCAAGTATATCTCAGCTTGCAAAAGTTATACAAATACAAATGCAAAGATGATACATCAGGATGCAGTAGATAAATTGGTTCGTCCAGAATCGTGTTAGTAAAGTAAACGCAAGAGTTGATGTGACGATTAATGAGTTATGTGATTAATGATGCATAACTGATCATCAACAAACCACGACTAATGGTTTTGTTTTAAAAGGCCGGAAAACACTACAGAGGGACAATAAAGTACAATAGGTAAAGCGCATTGGTGAACAAAAAAACAGGATTGGTCGCGGGGTTCGGAATTGCTTGAATTTGGGTAACTGAAAAGAGAGGCTTTTCAGTTTTCCCGCACAGTTGTAAATGTGTATGGACCACCGAAGAATACTGTCGATGGTGACACCCAGTCACTTGAGTGGGGTCATTCTGAACACTAGTTTACAGTTAACGGTAGCAGATCCTGTTGGAAAGGAGGATCGCGAAAGACTGAAGATACACTCCATGCAGTTGTGCAAAGACTCAGACCAGATTGATTTGAAAACAGTTGGACGTAGAATCAATTTTCAGTGAAAAAATTGAATTCCGAAAGGGATGATACAAAAGGACTTTTGGATGTGTGCAGGGAGTGCCACCAAAAGATCATTAATAAAGGTAGAAAAATGATATGGAGATAGAATAGCACCTCGAAGCACACCAGAATTAACAAGACGTTTGATATCCTCCTTCCCACCGGATCCTCTCTGTGAATTAGTCAAAAAGCCATGGGAACAGCTCTCTCGGACTGTCCAAAGGCTCAAGTTTGAAAAGAAGGGATAGTCGAGAAATAGAACCAAACGCGGACAGACTTGGCTGAGTTGTGTCAAATGGTTTGATGGTACGGTCACGTCGTTTTAAACCTCTCCAATCAACATGTAGTGCGGCATGCGACCGCCACACCTCATTTCACAATCAAGCTTTGCAACATCAACGTTTGTAGAAAATAAAGTGTTCCAACATTCCTTGGTCTCAGAATATTCCGATACTTTTTAATCTAACTTGCCTATGGTAGTGTGACTAAAGTTTTTTCGTTGAGGTTAAAGGACTGCGGGTCGTGGCCAAAGGAAGACTTAAGGATTGAAGTTTGAAGCTAAAAAATTGTTGGTTTTGGCTGAAGCTTAATGGGAAAAGTTGTAGAAATGATATACAGGAATCAAGGAAAGCAAAGATTTCCGTCTGAGAACACGAAGAAGATATATGCACCTTAGTAATGA